CTCCGGCCTGCGGCCATCGGGACTTCAACTTATCTGCCCTCGGCTTCGGGGACATTTAATCCCTAATCTCCCTCAGAGCCATGCTATTACTTATAATAAGCGCCTGTGATTTACAAAACACATCTTATAAAGATTGGAAAACAATCATGCCTTATTTGGATCCCTACACTGTAGGTCTTTCACATGCACTCTCTGGTGATTTGATTTCCCTTCAGATAACAACTTTTAACAACTAAGAATACTCCATTTTTGAATTCAAAGCGTGTAAACCGCTGATTATTTGACAACAGATTCTCTTGTGCAAAGAGCTTATGCAGAATGTAGAATGCCCCACACTTAACTACCTGGGGAATACTGGGAATGAGAGGGGACTTAGTGAGGCAATAGACATAGTTTAGACCATSTAGATGCGCTATGCAGGACTTAAGCATCAACTAGGGATTAATTACTTTGAAAAACACCCGGGAAGGCGGGCATATGATTTGGGCTTCCTTTCGTTTTYTTTCTTATAGTTGTGGTTAAACTTTATTATAGTATCAGAAAAACAGTGCTTTGCTTCGATTTTTTTCAGGGGGATGAAGAGTTAAAAAAAGATAAATAAAACTGTATTGTTTTTCCACTTTGAAATTCAGATGTATGATTGGATAGATTTGTTACAATGTCACTGCATCTTTGTGATATCAAAGATTGCAGAATCAATTGCCTGGGGGTCGGGAACAATGGAGGGGATGGGTATACTGGGGCTTTTGTACATTATTAGACATTCCCTCAAGTCAAATGCCAGGCTGTTCCCCGGGTCGTTTGGTGCGGGGCTTTCTACTGACTAGTGCATTACCACACAAAMGAAAGCACAAAAAAGGCTTTTTTTCAAGTCTTGAAAATTTAAGCTTACGTTTTTTCCAAATTGAGATTAYATTAACCCTCTATTCCAAGAAAGCCTAAGATTAAGCCTTTTGGGAATACAGGATTATCCTCAAATTGGGGAAAATGTAAATTCTTTTGATTATTGTAATTACAACATTTTCTTGTTCTTTCTAAGAGAAAGCTGCTGTCAAATAAAACAGCGGTTGTTCGCTTTCATTCGAATATGAAAAACTTCATTTGGTGAGAGAGTTTTTTGAYAATTTCAGTTTAAAAAATTAAGCTGAATTACCTCGTTAAGTGTAGAGGAAGATAACCAAATAAGGACCCAAATCAGTACAGCCATGATTTCATTTAAGAACGTTTTTCTCTATGAGACCTTCAGAGAAAACCCGACAAGTGCTGAGCTCGGGCTACCTGTAGTGATGTAAGATTGAGGAAAATAATTAAGAACTTTTAAAAGTTATATTAGAAAAATAGAGTGATGCAACGTGTAGCTGCAGCTTAATAAGCAGTATATTAAAAACGTTTTGGGACTACAAGGAAATTACTGAAATTATCCCCATAAATAGTTAATGAGTGAACACACTTTTATAAGCTTACAACGAAAGAATTTCCAAACAGATTAGCAGTGATCATCGATCAAGCTCAAAGCATACTAAAACAAAAACTTTTGTCTTCAGATCTTCAAACATACTTTAACGATGAGGCAAAAACTTTTAAAGCTCTCTTTTAACGTCATTTCAGTATGGACCATTTCTGTCATTTAGAAATGCTTGTGAATATTTTTTGACAGGACGCTTCGCCAAGACAACGGTTTGTGGCGGGAAGCGCTGTAAAGGATTGGGTTCCGTCCCGGGAGGGGTGGCTCTAGAAATAAACACCGAAAATTGTATTTGAACATGGAAATCATAGATTTTAGCGGGAAAAAAATAGAAATACACAGGTGATCTGAGACCTTAATWGCTTTTCTTTCTTATTTCATAAAACGTTTACRAATAGTGCATCACAGGAGATCCCCTCCCCCCTACAGTGTGTGATGTATTTGCACTTCCGGTTTTGAAAGTGAAAGTCTGTCGAAATCCTGYTTTCTTTCTGTGATARTTTATGTGGAAATAAGATGGAAGARAAGCCTCTTTTAGAAGAAAGGACATCGTACGATTCCACAGCAGGTATTAAAACAAATGGTGCTGTTTGTAAAGTAGCAATTGTTTACATCTACGGCTCTACCAGGGTCCCCCTAGAGTCGAATTCTGACTCTGATGCCATTATACGAGGAAACTTTGGTAAATCTAATAATGTCAAATTCCCCTGGGGCTGTACGTTTGTTGTTTATTTTTACTGTACTATTGAGCGGGTATTAGTCAATCTTAAGTAACAAAAGCTCCCTTTGAACGGTGGCAGAACAACCAAGAATGCATTTTGATCTTGGTCTTGTATTCAATTTGCTGTATGTGTACAGTAAAATCTGTAATGTACAATGTAATCAATCAAACTGCCCTTGATTGAGTATAGTGATTGGTATAATTTTTCATTTGTTTTCAATTGCATTTATTCTCAAGTACTCGCCATATTATTATTTACATTTTACACTTAGTGATTCAGGGCTAGACCAGGCTGCAGCACAATGTCATGTTTTTGCTTTCATTTCAGATTGTAATAAGAGGCCTTCCTTAAAGCCCAGTTTTAGTTATGATCAACTACCACCATCTATTGCTGGATACTTTGGAGATAATTACCATTGTATTATCACTCGCAATCCTCATGACAAACAACATACTGACAGACCGGCATCAGGGTCAGAAAGCTCAGGCAACTCACATGTAGACTCCCGAACTCCAAAAAAACACAGACCCATTTTTATATGCTTAGTAACCTTGGTTCATTTAGTGATGACAGCATATTCATGTATTGTGGGGGGTATTGAAAGTATTGGACTTGTGTCGYACTATGAACATCAAACAGCACCAAAATTTGGTTCAATCCACAAAGCAAAGGAGAATCAAACTCAGGAAAACTTTGGAATTTATCCAGGAAAAAATATATTCATTGGACCAAATGTATCATTTTTGGTCAGGTYAGGGGCTTTATATCCACCAGTAAGTATTGTCATCAGTATCATGCTGCTTTCGTTACATAATAGTCAGAATTATTGTAAGTGGTTTAGATAATAATTGTCAAGGAGGGAGTGCAGATTGTATTTTGTAAATTTTCTGTCGGTGGGAAGTCAAAATATTGATATCATTGCAGTGTATGCATAAAGATAACAAGATAAGTAAAAGAATCATCAGCCAGAAGAAAACAGAGAAGACTTTTRTCTGTTGTTCATTGAATARTGAATGTACCATGATGGCTGACAAAAGGTCAGTCAGTCATTGACAGTGTTAGGTAGAAAGAATCTGCATTTTATTCAAAGAACTAGTAGAATGTGTTTTTACATCCAAAAAAAGATGTTATTGTCTTCAGATGCTCCAACTTTTATGGCAAACTAGAAATGTTGTGAAATTAGGAAATGTTTTCTTGTAATGCAATAGAAAGTACCAAAAAAATAAGACAGACAAYATTCAATACTCATTTATAATCTTTCAGGTGTGTCTCTCTATCTGGCGAGGTCATTGGTAATAGCACCACATGTTCATCATCCAGTTTAAAGTGCATTAATGGTGTGACACTCAGACCATGTTGTATAGGCGTCCATGCAAAATGTCTCATTGTATCACAGAAGAAATGTCATATATTAAAAGGACAATGGCATAGCAACAAGGTACAGAAACCTATCAGTATCAAAAATTTTGCATTTTGCATACAGAAATGCTTCAAGAAGCTAACAACTCCCATTGAGCTACAAGTTATATYTATAGTATATCAAATGATTTTCTARCAGTTTAATGTCTATTTTCCAGTTGTTATGCAGCGATGTTAATTGCTTGGATGGTATATGTGGCTTGACTGGTACTTATCAAACATATGGACACCAGTTCTACAGAKTTTTCACACCTATCTTTCTACACATTGGTGAGTTAAATAACATTTCCTGTTTTGATAACTTGCTTATAAAATCTGCTCTATGGAAAACACCCTTCTGTATGGAAAATATCTTTCACTTTTAAAACACCCTTTTCATGGGGACCCATCTATACAGGAAATACCATTCTCTATGGAAAACATATTTCTCCAGGTGAAAGATCTTTCCCTTCTCTGTGTTATCACCCCTCTCTATGAGAAACACCCTTCTATGGGAGACACCCATTTTAACATTTCTGTGAAATGATATAGAGGCGTCTGTCAGCATCTGTAATATAGAATTGTCTGTCATATAGAGTTGTCTCTGATATAGAG